TTGCTTGCTGAAAGTGAGGGGAACTTGAACGGCTTGCTATAGAAGATTAAAGACTACAACTTCAAAATAGATTTATCTCAACATAAAAAAAATACCACTGGGTCAGTAGACAACATCATGATAGATGGAAGAAACATTGAAATTGTCAATAACTTCATCTTACATAGATCCACAATCAACACTCTTGGCCTCAGCAGACAAGAAAGCAAAAAGATGTGTTGAGAAAGTCTGGTGTTAGGACCTCTCCAGATTCTTGAGGAGCAGTGATGTTAGTTTGAAGACTAAGGTGTGCCCGATTCAAGCCATGGTATGTGTGTGAGAGCTGGATAATAAGGATGGCAGAAGCAAAATCAATGCTTTTGATTTGGAGTTGGAGAAGATTACTGAGTATCCCATGGAATGCCAAAAGAACAAAGAGCTGTGTCTTGGAAAGGTGCAGCCAGTGTGCTACTTAGAGGCAAGGCTAGTGAAGCTTCATGTCACATATTTTAAGCATTTTTCTAGAAGGGAATATTCCTTGGAAATGGACATCATGCTAGGAAAGGTGGAGGGTCAATGAAAGAAAGGAAGACCCTCTATGAGATGGATTGACACTGACTGCAGCAATGAGCTGTGTGTCAGAAATGAGGATGGTACAGGAACATGCCTGTTTATCCACTAGCCCCTCTGTCACAGAAAAATGATCAGTCTCCTCCTGTTTGATGTACAGCCTTGGGAACCCAGTTTAGGTCAGCTCTGAATCTGAACTGGCTTGATGGCATTGTGGATATATGCCTATTTCTCAGGGTCAAATTCCTCACACAGCATTTATGGTTTAAAGGTATATAAGTGTTGATAGATATTATGTTTTTCCACCATTTCACTCACTTTCTTAATCATTATTGTCACGATTGTAAAGGCAGGGCTACTACTTAAACCCATGCAAAAAGCAGATTCTTTCCAGATACTTAAGTCATCCCATTCCAGGTCTATTTAAATGTCATCATTTCTATCTTTAAAAAAAAAAAAAGTAGAGGAAGTACTAACTATAAATTTTCTATGTGTTGACTGGAAACATTTGAAACTACCCCCAAAAGTTAAAGAACATGAAAAATGCTCATAATGCTACCATCTAGAGAAAATTACTATTATCAGTTTGCTGAATTTTCTAGTCTTTTTCTCCTGACTTATATAAACTACAAATTTATAATATACTTATTAACAATCTGCGTTATGCAGATGACACAACCCTGCTTCCCGAAACTGAGGAGGACCTCATGCACTTGCTGCAGAGGGTCAAGGACTGCGCCCTTCAGTATGGACTGAGGCTCAATGTCAAGAAGACAAAGATTCTCACCACTCGACCAACTGGTAGCATCAGGATGGATGACGAAGAGACTGAGATTGTTCACAGCTTCACTTTGCTCGGCTCCACAGTCAACACTCTTGACACCAGCAGCCAGGAAATCAAAAAACATATTGTGATGGGAAAGTCTGCTATTAGGGACCTCGCTAAAGTACTCATGAGCAACGGTGTCTCTCTGGAGACTAAGGTTGGCCTGATACAGGCCATGGTCTTTGCAATCACTTGTTATGCATCAGAGAGTTGGACAATGACTAGGAAGGATAGAAGGAGAATTGATGACTTTGAGCTGTGGTGCTGGAGAAGCGTATTGAATGTACCCTGGACTGCCAAGAAAGCAAACAGATTCATCCTGGAGAGGGTTAAATCAGGCTACTTCTTGGAGGCAAGGATTCTGGGACTTCGTCTGACATACTTTGGACATGTTGTAAGGAGAGACAGGTCCTTGGAGAGGGACATCATGTTTGGTAGGGTGGAGGGACAGCGCAGGAGGGGAGGACCCTCTATGAGGTGGATTGATTCAATGACTGGGGTAATCAGGATGGGTGTGCCAGAGGCAATGCGATTGGCACAGGACAGAGCAGGGTTTAGGGCTGTTGTACATAAGGTTGCTATGAGTCGCAAACCATGGCACAGAACAACAACAACATATAAAATACAAATTTATAATAACATTATACATGCAGATTTATATTATCTTTTTTATATATTCTTCTTTTTAAAAAAAACACTTCTCATTTAATCAGAAAGGAAAAAACATCCTATAGCTACTCCCACTTGCTTTTTCAACTTGGAGCTGAATGATCCTGTATTAATTGTAATAGGTTACTAATAGCCACAGTTTTCCAAACTATAACATTACAGGATTTTTTCTTCTTTTATAATACCTGAAAACTATGTAAATGAAAAAGTTTATTCTGATAAATTGAAACCGTAAATTTTAAAAATATCATTAATATTAAAAACTTTTATAAGGAGTGCTTTGCTTATTTGGAGCTTTTATCCATTCCATACGAAATTGGAGATTGCCTTTTCCATCTCGTTGAAGAATGGTGTTGGTATTTGTATTGGGATTGCATTAAATGTGTAAATTGCTTTTGGTAGTATTGCCATTTTCACAACATTGAGTCTTCCTATCC